GCGGCGGTAGATTTGAATTACACCGGGCAGCGGCACAATATGAACTGTCAGGAAGACTCGGGTCTAACTCATGGTCTAACTAACCTTATTCAACAGAAAATGAAATGGCAACAGGGCTTGGGAGCAGTGGTCGCACTCGCGTTAACCGAATACCCCCCCGTCAGCGCGAGTGATTGATAAATTGTGCACTCGACGGATAATAATGGATTATGACGGAAATGTTACGATCCTGTCCGTCAAAATGACTGACAACGAAAAAGTCTAAAGCCACCACTGCTTGGGAGAAAGAAACGATGTGATATGTGGGCCCATTTTCGCTACAATGAGGCGGAGAAAAAAAGCGAATGCATTGTTTTATCAGAAGGGAAGCAATGTGGCCATAACACAGCTGGTAAAAACACCACAAACCTGACCCGATACTCTCTGCAAAGCTTCTTAATCATTCAACCTGTGTTTTTCATCATTAAGGACAAGATATAATCTTATTTATTTATATATACTAAAATGACAAATGATTGGTTTTGGCTAGACTAGTTTGACTGAAATGTTCTATATAATCTGATGACTAAAAAAGACTCAACAGTTTTCTTTGACTAAAATGCTCAGACTTTTAGTCGACTAAAACTTGACTAAATAAAAACAGGATGAAGGTGACTAAATATGACTAAAACTAAAAAGGAAATTTAACACAGGACTAAGACTAAATAAAAAAATAGCTGACGAAATTAACACTAATGTTCAGGAAGTAAACAAAGTAGTCCAATGGAAGCAGTTCAGGCAGGGGGAGTGTGTGGAAAGGAACACTGTGATTGTAGCCTTTGCAGACCATTGACATGCACAGAAAGCTATATAACACACTAGAGAGCATAACAAATAATACAGAGAAACAGTTTGAGTATGAAACACAAGAGAATGATTCCCTCCCTAAACTGGTTTTATTTCCTGCTACAGGTCAGTGTTTCCTCTACATGAAGGTGATCGAGAGAGCAGCTTTCCCTGCCAGGATGTGGGAGAAGGTGAGCTTCATTTCTCTCTCAGTTAATGGGGTTTCTCTTTACCCAGAGATCTTTCTACCTGTATGTTTACTTCAAATAGAATTCACTTGGTTATCTGAAAAATACAGACTATATACAGATTAAGATTTACATTTCTGCACTGCTATCTTTTTTTGGTGTGGCAGTAGCTCAGGCTGTAGGGACTGTGGGGAGCCGGAGGGTGGCCGGTTCAAACCCCGAGAGACCATAGTACGGAGAGTGGACTGGTACTTGGAGAGGTCCCAGTTCACCTCCTGGGCCCCCCCCCCAGACTGCGCTGTACAATAGCTGCACAGGTCAAAGGGGAAGTCATTGTTCTGTTGGATTTGAGATCACTGTAATCTAAGTAAATGGACTTCACAAAAGTATATTCTTGTTTGGAAAATGTATTATTATTCCCTACTTAAGATTAGCTTTCTGGTGCCTTAGCGGCAGTTTCAGTTTGAGTAAAACATTTGATTTCTTTGTGTGTGCGCAGGTGAAGCTCAGTAGGAACTACGAGAAGGCTCTGGAGCAGATCGACGAGAGCCTGATCTACTGGCCTCGATTCCTCCGTCACAAATGCAAACAGCGTTTCACCAAAATCACTCAGTACCTGATCCGCATGCGCAAACTGGTCCTCAAGAGACAGTAAGTACTGTTTCTGTGATGCATCGTGCTGCCGAACACTGCATCACACACCACGTAGGAAGAAGGGCACATACAGACAATAAAGCACCCTAATGTTGTTTCCATATTATTTGTGTAAAACTGGAAACATGTTACAGGTTTCTCACGGGGTCCTGTGAGAGTGAACTCAAGAATAGAAACTTGTCTGACCACAAAATCATATCAAATAAAGCTTTATTGATCCCCGAGGAGAAATCCAGCTACAGCACCAAGAGGCAAACAGAGAAAAGAAAGATTACTACATAACATGTTTTTAAAATTACATTTCAAAAATAGATGATTTGAAAACAAAAAGTATTTCTACACAGTAGGTTTCCATCTCATCCTAACGTCAGCGTGAACACAACTTGAAGCTAACATCAAAAGCACCTTCAGTGGAGAAATGTAGCGTGACTGTTGCACTGTGTTTCCAGGAGGAAGTTGGTCCCTCTCAGCAGGAAGGTGGAGAGGAGAGAGAAAAGGAAAGAGGTGAGCACTCCATGCTGTCCACTCCAACACTCAGGCTGCATCCACCTGTTCATTCTAATGTGTACTAATGTCTGTCGTCTGTAGGAGAAAGCTCTCATCGCTGCTCAGCTGGATAACGCCATCGAGAAGGAGCTTCTGGAGAGACTGAAGCAGGGAACGGTGCGACACACACACTTTGAATATCTGTACATCGAGGCACACTCGAGACATAGTTCACCTGGAACCAAACAGTAACGTATTTAAAAGGAGATCAAGCAACTGCAGAGATGAAATGTTTAAGTTTTAGATAAGATGCAGAGAGCCATTTAGAGACCGATTTCTATCCTTACTTGTAATTATAGTCTGAGAGTCATCTGTTTATAAACGTGTGTTTGGTTAGAGACCTGAGATGTCTGTGGTTGAATCAAATGTAAGACACATTCTTCTACATCAGTTAAAACTCCACTGGGAGTCCGGAGCTTCTTTTTGTCATAAAAACAGCAGTTGCTACCATGCGACTAAATGAGACGACTAAACGTCATCACAGCAAACATTAGCCGCCTTTAGCTTAGCGGTCGTGATGCAACCTTGATGTAGTTCTCTTATAGCATCATGTTAGCTATTAGATATTGGGATTACACTTTAGCTTCAAAAACATGAAAGCGGTGTTAATATGTGGCGATTATCCTGCTGAACAAAACACGTGTCATTAACATGTTTTTACCACATCCTACATGCATATTATTCGGCTACTTACTAAATAAGTCAATGATCTGACACAACAGATTCATTTCATTTGATTGCTTCTGCTAAGAAAGACATTTCCGTTTTTGAAGCAACGTCATTTATAATGACAGCAGCACTGGTGGAGTTTTTCTGTACCTGTCCAAGTATTCAACTATGTACCATGTACTAGTTAGTAACGCTAACATACATTTTATTGTGTTCTCAGTATGGAGACATCTACAACTTCCCAGTCCAAGCCTTCGACAAAGCTCTGGAACAGCAGGATGAGGAGAGCGAGGAAGAGGAGGAAGGAGAAGATGAAGAGGAGGAGGAGGATGATGAGGTAATGAAGGATGCTTACATCAGATCAGCCTACACACACTGTTTGAGTTTATATTCTCATGTGAACTTTATCCTTGTCTGCAGGGCGTTGGGAAGAGCGAGTTTGTCGCAGAAGAAGAGCTGGAGGAGAGCGACCTGAGCGACTTTGAGGTGAGTGGAGCTCAAAGGACTAATGTTTCAATCTGAACTCGGGGTGTACCGAATAGTTTGAACCTTTAAAAGATCCATTCATGACGTTGAGAGAATCAATATCGGGTTTTTTCACCAAGTGTGAGTTTAATCATGTTTAAATTGAACAACAGAAATGTTTTTGATCTGAATGTTTTTGTTTCTTCCCTCAGGAAATGAATAAACTAAAGACGAGCAGCGACGAGGAGGAACAGGACGATGAGGAGGAGTCCAGTGGAGAGGAAGAGGAGGAGGATGAGATGGAGGTCGAGACAAAGACGAAGGCCTCCTCCAAGTCTAAAGGCAAATCTCCAGCCAACGGCTCGACAGCGAGGAAGAAGCGAGCGTACGTGGAGATCGAGTACGAGACAGAGCCCGCCCCCAAGAGCAGAGCCACGTAGTGATGTCACTTCCTCTGCTGCCAGTCAAACTGCTTCTGCTGAGGTCATCAGTTTGCTCGTACAGACTGTGAATGGAAGTTTGTAAAAGGACACACATGACGGATCTGACCTGGAATCAGATCGGAATATGAAACACCCAGAGTGACTTTAACTTTATTTTCTGATTAACATGAAGTTTTAAAAATGATTGCTTTATTTTCTTTTATATGTCAAGTCCATATTCCTGTTTGAAAACACAAAATAACAGATGTCAATAAATCCATTTTGGAAAAATATGTAAACCTGCTTAGTTAACTAACTGCTTGTTTCTATAAATATCTGAATACTTCACCCACAAAAATGACTTATTTTGTTCCTTATACTTTTGCTCAACAGTTTGAATACAGTAAAAGAACTAAGTACTTCTTGCATTGCTTTCTTGCTGAGAGTTAGATTGATTATCCAGCCAACTGCTTAGCTTAGCATAAATCCAGAAAACTATCACGATATATTTTGTATATGTATGAAAACCAGACCAAATCTACAGAGAGGGCATATGATTTTCATGGGGGTGCTGTGGGATAGCTTGACGTTTCATAGAGGGTGCTCAAACATGTACAGTAGGGTTTCCCATTAATGTACCATGCGCAACAGTGGAATTTTCTACTGCAACACTCCCCACACGCACATACACAGACCCGCGATTGTGACAATGAAGGCTTGATAATCATCTCACAGCATATAGGTTTAAGCAGGGGTAAAGTGCTATTTTTACAAGTGGGGGGTCCGGGAAGATTTGCACTTTGAGAGCAACATTAAGAGACACCCATATGAAACAGAACTGTAAACAGATTGACTTTTTCTTTATGGATATTTTACAAATCACTCCCCTTTTAAACTCTATTGTTGTTTACTGTCATATAGCATTTCATAACTGTTTTTCATGTATTACTCATTAATATCTGACATCACATACATCGTAGCATTAAAGTTCACAGTTTATTTATAATTTAAAAAATAATACAAAACGTGTTTATTGGGAGGGCAGGAATGTCGGGCCTGGCCCTCCCACGGCGCCGGGTCTGATGAAAACCCTTAGTAAAAATGTGTTGTGACAACATTATTCTTGAGTGACTACGGAAATGTGAATACCAAACCTTTCCTGACTTTGGTACATACCAAAGTAGAAAACAACACTAAATCATATTTAAAGAAGCACAGAAAGGCACAGGCGTAAATACAGTATACTTTATTTACAAAAAACGAAATCACCGCGGCAGGCAGTACAATAAGCTACAGCTGAAGAAAATCATTACAGATTTAGAATATAAATAGTCAAAGAATCATAAAAGCATGATTTTACTTAGGCAGACATAAACAGATCACAGAAAGAAAAAGAAAATGTACAGAGCGTTTTACAGCCGGCCTGCAGAGTGGAGAATTGTTGCTAATTAAAACATCCTGAATTTTAAAATACATTTTTTTTAATTCAATAACAGTGCCTCGAATGGCCGATTAGTGTAATGATTTATAATGTTGTTTTTACATGACATCATTAAAAAAACTAAATGTACATTTATCGTTATGCAAATAAATGTAGCTTATGTTGTTGATGCTCACATACTCAAGTCAGGTATTTTAACACTCAATTATTCCGTTCATTTCCTCAAATGTTTTCATAAAAAATGGTGATTATGCTGTAGCACCACTGCCAATAGCTGTTGCCTTTTAATATATATTTGAACATTATTTAAATAAGTAAACGCTTGTGTTTTCCTTTTGCTGTCATGGCAACTTTAAATGTTTTTATTATTTATTAGTTTATTCCACTCGTGGCAATAAAGTGACTTCAGCTTATTTTTGTGTAAGCGAGAAAACACTTCTTTTTTTCTCCCTCGGTGAATGCGGCGTGAAGGTTTATAAATCGGACGGTTTTGGACAGTTCAAATAGATGTGTTGTCTTGTAGTGAAGTCCACAGTGAGGCCCAAACACACACAAAAAGCATTATGTGTTGTCCTTTATTACCCTTACCATAATGTTATATTTATATATTTCATAACCCTTAAAGGTTGGGTAGGTCATTTTGGAGAAACCAGCTAGAGTGCGCTAGAATTTGAAAATACACAGCCGGAAGAAATCTGCCACTTCCTCACAGACTTCCTTACAGAGCCCCTCCTCCAACACACACAAACGCGCACATGACCAATGAGGGCACGAGATAAGTTTGTGCACAGATGGAAGGCTGACAGGCTGGTAGGCCATCCAGTTATTTTAGCCGGCTCAGATGATTGGTCGTACTTTTTATATTACTACGACTTCCACAGGTGACATTTTTTAATGTATTTTTTGTCAAAGCACTTCAGATATTCATTGCTATCGGGATGTTAAGAGCATTCCATGGAATATAACAAAAAGTGTTTCTGAAATAAATGACATACCCCACCTTTAAATGAAATGTTTTTAGAAACTGTTATGTAGATACATAATTAATCAAATGTTTGCAATAATAAAAAGGAAACATTTAAATAAACTTGGGAGTGAAATAGGTTAAAAATAATTAACTGTAGGTATTTATTTGACTGACAATAGAAAAAACACCGCATCATATTTTTAGGCTGTCACCTGTTTCATAGTTCCATTTGTTGAGTATGAATATTATTGATCAGTGTGTTTTCCCTGCTGGAGAGACACATAGAGTGTCATCTGTCCAGCTGATCCATACAGTGTATATATGTTTTATCCATCAATAAGAGCAGAGTCATATCAGGTGAAAGCTGCATTCATCGATTTATTTTTTTAAAACACTGAATCCAACAACTGACACATTACATGTTATACTGTGTGCGCATCCGTCGGCTTGTTTTGGTATATTTCTCCCCTCTAGTAGCCACAAAATCAAATAATACAGCTTTAAAAATATTTAAAAAGTATAAGATAAAGTTTAGCAGAGCTACTTTGTTGGTGTTTTATAGCTAGTGAGTGCTGGAATGCTTCTCAAAGAACAACATTTACTGAACAATGCAGTTAAATAGGCTGAGAGAACTGGATCATGTAGCGCCAGGATCACGCTCTACAATCCCTATTTATTAATTTGACATTTCATTCATTTAGTTGATGAAAGCACTTTAGGGTGTCAAGGCTCCGTCAGATCACGCTTAAAATAAAACAAAATGTGTTGGAAGGCAAGATAATGTCAGAATAGAGTGGCGCAGTAATGAGTCCTAAACCTAGGAAAGGACTTCTACCACTTCCTGTTCCCTCGTCTTGAGTCAATGGTTTTTTGAACGTGTTTGCGGTTAGTAACGTGACCGAAAGTCTGTGGTTAAAACAAGCTGAAGAGATCTTCACATTTTGTCCAACGACATAAAGCACGTCAGTAAATACCCCACTGGTAGGAGCTTCTTTCTTGCAATATGCCGAAACCCAATTGGAAAATCCCATTGCTTTTGGTTGAGACAACACTTTGCGATGCTTACTTCTGGGTCGGCCTTCAAAAACAAGTCATCACTGCACCACTCTATAAGTCTCTAAGATATGTTTTGGTTGCAAATCTTCTGCTTATTCCGCTTTTAAGAACCAGATTGCAGATCCCGCCGTTAAAAAGAAAACTAAACATACAAAACACGTAAAGGTAGCAATAAATTAAAATCTGTGTTGCTTCCACTTTTACCTTTCCCTCAATACACACTGAACCAGGAGGGACACGACGCATGGCCACTAGAGGGAGCTGTGACACCGAAAATAAAATGTAAATATATATTGAAAACATGTTAGAAAACAAAACAAAAATCAACATGAAAAAGAAACATTTTAATAATAAAAATCTATCCTGAACTGGATCCCATGCAGGATCAGTAGTGACATTCTGGTTCAGGTAAGTCATTTTATTCTTCATCATCACCTTCATCAGATCAGTTGGTTTATTAGGTTATTGGATTGAAATATTTAATTTTTTTGTTTTGTTTTTTCAAATGCAAAAAGTGGAGATTAGGGATGTTGTGTTTTGGGTTTCTGTGTGAACAACGTTTCTTAGAGTTCTTTAGGGATCCACTGGGTTCCTAGTGACAGAATATTCAGTCTCATTTGGTCAGGAAGGGTTTTGATGTCCTCAGGACTGGATTATTCTATTTTCTTTAAATTAAAATTCTATGCGGGGCAGCTTCCAAGTTTCTGAATGTCATTCTCAGATTGGGTCCAATATAATGTGTGCATGAATCACTCCGTATGGAGATGCTAGCCATGTTCTTAAGCATTGTCCAGTATGTTCTGTCAAGCTGGGAATAAAGGAGGTGATTTAGACGTGATCAAACCAAAGTACAATGAAGCTTTAACGCAATTCTATACCGTTTGGGAACTCGCGAGAGATGTTAAAGAAAGACTGATCAAAACTGAACCAGAGATATGTCGACTTTTAGTACATAATATGGGACAAACTCAAAAACCCTGGATCCTACATTTTCCGCAAACTTAGTACAGTCTGCTTCTAGACACACCCTGCCTTGTGAATCCCACGACTTTGTAACTGCAGACTTTTCGTTTGTAACTCAGGCTTTTCTTTTAGAGGGTCAACCAGTGCAGGCCAAAGGACATTTAAGAAGTTAAGTGGTTCCAAGTATGGAGTAGTGCCCATTAACCTGCATTTAAGTGAACTGGTACACTACAGGAACGCATTCCACCACAAGAGCAACAGATTCAAAAGTCCACATCAGCAACTTCAGTGTAAATGCGTCCACATTACCGACACAGTGTAAATGCAATGGGTCAGAGGTCAGAAGGTTCATCTATCGAGTGTTTGGAAGTTAATGCATGAGAAACAAGTGAAACAACGAGGTTGCTGTATGAAATCAAGCAGAGCGAGAAATGTTTTCTGTGAAGAAGGAACCCCAAGGACGAATGCAGACATTAACGCAACTGTTAGAATTCATGAATTTGAAGCAAGAGTTTTTAAGAGTTGGATTCAACCAATGATGGGCATTTAGGTGATATAGATTCATGGCAGATTCGATTATATAGCTACATTTGAAAATTTGAACTGAAGGTGGTCCTTAATTTGGACCTGAATCTGTCAATAGGAATGTCCAGAGTTGGAATTATGGTGACTTGCACTTTAGGACCAAGGTTGATGGACTACCCTCACTTGAGACGGGTCAATGCTAGTGGAAGATAGTTGTCTGGTGTCGGGCGCTCCCATTCTCATCTATCTTTTGGCCAAGAAAGCCCGTGTGTGGGTGAACGCGGTCTCAGTTTTTCTCACATGCCACTGTTTGTGTTTGGGACGAGGGGAGTCTAAATTTGAAGGAAGCTAAACATTGAGACAGCAAGCTTGTAATGGCATCTAGACTTTGACCAGAGTTCTTTCATAATCCGAGGCTTTGTCTAATTCAATGTCCAGATTTCAAACTAAGTGACCCCTTTTGATAAAGTGTAGTCCAGTTTTGGGTCGTTGGTTGATTCAGATTCAGGTTTCGTATCTATATTTTCATCAGTGTTTTTCTTTTGTGACCACGATATTCTTGAAATTTGGACAACCATCATATGACTGAGGCCAACAGCACTCCAACTTGGGAGGTCCTGAGTGCAGTCAAGTTTTTGGGGGAAAATGTTGGGCTGAAAATGGGCAGTGATGGGACTGGAATGAGACCCAGCATGTGTCATTTTGACAGTGATTCAGGGGGTCCTGATTTGAGAGTTGTCCAAAACTGATCCGAATTTGAGAATGACTGGACGTCTGGAGAGGTTCTCGATCTAGTTGAGGATGTCCTGATTTAACCAAAGCTAGTGATGTCTGATTGGGTGGAGGATGGCCGAATCTTTGTCTTGAGTACTAACCTCAGGTTTGGAGTCAAAACAGTTGGTTGGACTGTGTTGAACATTATCCACCTAAATTCTGTTTGACGCACTCTTAAGAAGCATGTTAGTGCCTGGTGGATCTCTGTGTATCTTTCTGCCTCCGTCTGTCCGTCCACCGGTCTGTTCTATTGGTCTGTAGTTCCTGTCTGTGGTTAGCAGCTGCAGCCTTCTTTGGCCGGCTGGCTGTCGGCGTTAAGGCGCCCCCCCTGCGGAGCAGATGGTTTGTGCTGGACCCCCGACTCAGCAGCGTTCAGGTCCAAACTGCCGTCTTGGATGTTCTGGTATATCCTCTTTGCTGCTTCCAGGAAGGCCTCTTCCACATTCTCCCCTCTGAGGCAGAAGAAGGAACACAACATTTTCAGAGATGAATAAACATTCAGTAAAGAGTCTTACAGGTAGATGAGATAAGTAAACTCTTCTCAAATTCAACTCAACATATGTCTGTATCTGCAGAAAATAGAACCTAAAGTAAGAAATTATTAGTATTCCCAAAAAGAAATGGCTCTAGTTTAAGTGTTTAACATATTCTATATATTCTTTTTTTCAGGACGTTATTTCTGATTCTTTACTGTCCGAGCAGCATCTGAACGTTGTCAAGGTAGAGCTAATTAAAAAAAAAAAAAAAGGTATAAACTTTTAGGTAGTATTATCTATAACAGCGTATGTTTAACATATCAAATGTTGTTCTGAAAATTACTTAAGCTGTCATAAATGGAGTAATAGTAACAAGTAAAAAACAACTTACCGTTTATGGTCAAAAGGAAATTAGGAAAATACCTCAAATTTGCAACTTAAATAGTAATCAAGTAAATGTTGTTAGTTACTTCCCACCGCTGTTTTTCTTTTATTTGGAAAACCTTAATATACCTTAAATAAACACATTTATATCTTTCAAGGGATCAGTTTCAAAATGTTTGAGTGACAACACCTGTGTGCGAATGTGGATATATATGAAGTCATACTTTTTTTTAGTGTGTGAATGTTTTTGCAGCTGAAATTGTATGCATTTTATCAACAAACAATATTCAAAATAAGACACTTGAGTATTCACAGGAAAAGGCCTATATATATATATATATATATATAGCTGAAATAGTGTGTGCATGAACTTACGTTTTTGCGCTGGCCTCAAGAAACAGCAAACCTGAAAAACAGGAAGTAGAATCACATCTAAGGTCTTGTTTTCATCGTAATTTGAACATGTTGCTGCTATCTCTCTCTTTCTCTCTCACAGAGGTCACACCAAAATAAAACCCTTCTCACCATTCTCTTCAGCAAACTGTTTGGCCTCCTCGTACGTCACATCCCTCTGAGCCTCCAGGTCAGCCTTGTTACCAATCAGAATGATGACCTGGACACAGCAGTCAGCGTAGTTGTTGAACAAATATAAAAATGCATGATCAGTAGCCACATTGGCATCAGTATGCTGAGGTCAATGGCGGCTAATCAATAGAGGGCACTAGGAAATTTAAACAATTATTACAGTACGTTTCATTATCCTCTCTTGCAAGTGCAGCAGCTGACCGTTGCTACCCGAAAACTGCAATTCAGCCAATGAGCGTCCTCAGTTCTGATGGCCAAAGGGTGGCAAATTCAGCGTGTGTGGGAATACTTTGAGGTAACGAAAGAGTATTTGATGAAGATGGCTGCTTGTGTAAGTACTTCTGGAGAATCCGGACTTCTGTCCCAGTTTATATTGTTTAACTATGTCCAGGACAAGGTGTTTCTTTCAAAGTTAACCACACTGAAGATTATGGAGGTATGCCACACTACTCACACAGCTGACTTTGTGTGATAATACACTACTCCTTCTGTAAGAGTTACTATATGTAATTCAATAACTAGGCTGGTTGATTAGACTTCTCACATTTTTAAGCCTCAATTTGTCCTTTAGCACTGTTTGCCATGTTTTGTAGTGTAATGGGATTCCGGCATGTGTGTGTGTGTGTGTGTGTTAGTGTTGCACGGTGTACTGATACTTGAAAGGTACCGCGATACCCTGCCGTTAAAAACGGTACGATTCCTCCGTTTCATTAGTATCGGTACTTTAAGAATGACGGGGAAAAGTACTCCGGTGAGAAAGCGCCGTTTTAATAAGTGCCGTGTGTTCAGCGCTCTGCTTCCACTCCCTGCACTGCAGCCGTGCCTGCAGTCCCGCCCCTCTCAAGCACGCTCTAAGCCCCTCCCCTCTCAAGCACGCTCTAAGCCCCTCCCCTCTCTCGTGCACTTGCTAGCTGCCAGAGCAAGTGAGAAAACGAGAAGCATGGCTGCAAGTGGGAGTGCAACTGCCGCTGCGCCTCGGCTTGTTGACAAAAAGCGAAATTTGGAAGTATTTGAGCGATATCTCTGACAGCCTACGGACACCACGAGGCCTGTCTGTGAGACATGTATTACTTTTATTTAAGACGAATTCTTGTCATTTATTTTATTTATTGTTCTCATTGTTTAAAGGTTTGTGTTATGGTTATGGTTCTGGTGTGAAATAAAGCACAATAATTACATTTAAGACTGTTTCCCTTTTTTTAAGAAAAGTATCGAAAAAGAATCGGAATCGCAATTCTTGACTTGGTATCGGTATCGAAACCAAAATGTTGGTGTGTGTGTGTGTGTGTGTGTGTGTGTGTGTGTGTGTGTGTGTGTTAACTCACGGTGTTGGGGTTGGTCAGGTTCCTGGCATCTGTTAACCAGCTGCTCAAGTGATTATAAGTACTTCTCCTGGACACACAGAGACAAAAACAAAGTTATTCATCAAAGGATCAAAGTAATATGAAACCTCCCACACTAACTCCCCTCTCCCGGTCAGTACCTGGTGATGTCGTACACCATGAGGGCCCCTGCGGCCCCCCTGTAGTAGGACCTGGTGACGGCCCTGAAGCGCTCCTGACCGGCCGTGTCCCAGATCTGCAGCTTCACTTTCTGACTATTGACCTCCATGATCCTTGTCCCGAACTCCACCCCAATGGTGTGAGGACAGTCTGCCATGACTGTAGACACACATCCAAAATATTCATTATGACAGTTTAACTAGAAAACAGCCAACAACGCAGGACACTGCTTTTTTTCTTATTATTTTCCGTGAAGGTATATCATTTGATTTGTGACCTGCTCTATCGAAATCAGTCACATTGACCCGAAGACACATTTTGAGTTGTATACACTGCTGGCAAGAGGAGATTCCTAGCTTTCTAATGATATCAGGATTGTTGTTGTATTCCAAATATTAAGCAAAATATGTCACATTATATAATAATATAAGACTGTCACCGAGTCATCATTTTGAGAAAAAGGCCTTCAAAGTTTCCTCTTCTCTGGAATCCATCGATCTGATTGATTATTAGCAAGTTATCAAAATACTACGGAGGGAAGATATTTTCGTTTGGATTACTGGTCTGGGGGGAGCTCGCGTGTGTGTGTGTGTGTGTGTGTGTGTAATTTTGCATTTGTGTGTATTGTGTTTGTTTCCCGGGAAAATCCTCACGAGAAACACCGGCTGTTGTTATGCTTGCTGTGACGTTAAGTTACTCCGTTCTCCGCTTGTAATGATGCCGTTACAAGCTTCAAAGCTGTATTTATCATCTGAATTTGCTGAAACAAGTTTAATATTCTGAAAGCCAAGACTTTGTTGAATTGAAATCAGATGAAAACAAACTGTAACGGACCCTGCCGTGTTATCTATGATTACTCTACGCTTACATTCATAATGTCAGCCGGAGGGAGGGGGGCGGCGCTGCGGAAGAGCAGATTGCCTGTCATCTTCCCTTTACAAGCTTAAAGAATGTATTTATCGTGTGATTTTGGAAATAAAAGTGTCATATTCTGAAAGCCAAGACTTTGTTTATTTAAAATCAAACAAAACACCCGAACCCCGAAAAAATAGTTTTTTACGTAAATCGACGTTTATTCTGAAATGAGCCGTTGAGACTTCCGACTGATTTCGATAGAGCGGGTCACAAATGAACTAATAATGTACTTTGGGCATTGATTCACACAAACAACTGTTCTAATAACATATTGCATGAATCCAACCTTCATTTTACCCAGACAGATTATTTAATAATAATCTAAACGCTTAATGTACATTATCATTTAATCACTTATTCAGCTTCAAACAACTATTATACATCAGCCGATTGTAAAAAATGCACTTTCAAATGTTAAAGGATTGAAAATGATCATAGGAACAGGTGAATGGAAAGGCACCTAATGAGTAAGAGAAGTTGGAGGAGAGTGGAAGAACAGAAGGAGAAAGAACTCACATTTTTTCTCTGTGAACTGGTGGAGAAGACATGACTTCCCTACTCCCATATCACCTGGAGAGAGAGAGAGATTCATTAAGTTAAGTGTCTGGAGGGAACCTTTGCAGACCATTTACATGCAAACAAACCATAGGAAAGGGAACATATGCATATTAGGGCCCCTTTAATGTTTGATTTGAATATCCCCATACTACTCAAATCAATTAAAATAATTCCATTGTTGTGTTTTAGTTTAGTTTAGTGCATGGGTCTAAACACTACAATACCCATGCACCTCAGCAGCTAAATTAAAGCTCTGTGATTGGATGTTGTTTAATAAAAAGCAGAGAAACACGTTTAACTTAGCTACATTTGTTTTGAATGTCCAATGGCTTCTTGAACTTATTCTTTATAACAGAAGAACATTATTCAGATGATTAGTTCAGCATTCCACTCCTCACACACTACAGGCCTTTAGATGTTAAAACGCGAGCTAACACAAGCAGTCAGTCCCAGACGAGTCATCCGTGAAAAGTTTCACTTCTCAGGAAATACTTTTCACGGAAATAAACCCGAGCAAATATCCGCCTGGGTAGAAAATCTATTTAACCATGCTGCCTGGAAAAAGGAATATGCACGCGGAAATATTTCAAGGTACTTAAATGATGTCAAATTACTACGATGGTCCTATAAAAACTACTACTACTACTATTACTTCAAATATAAACATCTTGTTTTTGAATTTAATACATTTGCCAGTCACCAACTTAGCAACAAAACAATTGACATCAAGTGTTCCTTAGTATCCATGAGGTGAAGAAAACTCTTACAAATATTTATCGTAAAACGAGCAACACTGCTATTTAAAATCACTCTGTTGCAAGTAAAAGTACAAAAGTATTCACAACAAAGAGGAACATTTACTTTATAAAAAAGGTGAAAAATACTTGTGTGTACTTTCTATACTTTTATCTGAAGTACAATATTGTATAAAATCTGAATCTGTTAAGTATTCTTAAAATATGATACAAATAATGAAGTAAATCAATATTTTCCTCAGAGATATAGTGGAGTAGAACTATATAATGTGGCATACATTTGAAAGACCAGTCAAATCAAATTGCAAAAGACTCAAGTAAAGAATATTTATAATAACATTTGACTTATTAGTAAATGTACTAATAATCCAGCTCGTTGCAATATTAGTACATTAGTAATATTAGTAACTAGTAGTAAGTCATATTAGTTGCGCTACCTGCAACAGAATGCAGACAGCGACAGTACAAAACACAAGAATAAAATAAAAACATAATTATTTATTCAAACAAAGGGAGTTAAGTAAATATTTGCAAGTTGTATGCCAATATTCAACAACAATAAACGTGTAAAATTGTGTATATTACAATATATTCAGTGGTATATTAGTATTATAAAGATATGAATACTTCAGAGGGAGTTTCTCTCCCCCCCACACTTGAAACGCCTCCATTGGACTACTCCGTTTACTTCCATAACATAATGACATCACTATTTAACACTTTCTATACTATTGGCTAGCGCTCCAAAACATTGTATGTGATTTGACTGGGCTCTGGTTTCAGACAGAGGGTGAAAAGAGGTGCTGCAGCACAGGCAGTATGAGAGAAATAAAGAGCTTTTTAAACGTTAAAGCATGGAGACATGTCCCAGCAGAGACACTACATACTGATATGAAGCTGAACATGAGCAAAATATGTCCTCTTTAAAATGATCACCTGACTACCTGAGCGTAGTCAGGGGGCCTGTACTACGAATCCGGTTCAACCTAACCTGGATATTTTTGAGTTATCCGGTTGACCTAATCCAAAACAAACGCGCTCTCACTAAGCGGTCGTACGACGCTGGTTATCAACTCGTTAACTCAAGCCAGTTTTGCCCTATCTAGTTATGTACGCGCTCACATAAAGAGGGCGGGGTTAGCAACATTTGACCAATCCCAAACATGGACAAGCGCACTGACAGCACAGCGTCATACTTCCTGAATGAATATTAGACAAATATTAAGACGTTAAACATCCATGACTTAAACACTTGATCCAGGATCAAAGCCACAGAGCTGCACCTGCAAGGTGAATACAGCTGGTAACAGAACAAGTGTTTGAATGCGTACATTAACAGGTTTATGATATCACTGCCCCGTCTAAGACACGATCTGACTTTAATTACATTTGACTCGAGTGTTTCGTCAACTTAATGTGTTGCTTAAAATAATACTTCTGCATACAGTATGTGACACTGTGAGTGTTGCACGGCCAGATACGGCTCAGCTGACTCAGATAAGGAGATATATGATACATTATGATGTGATATGCCGCAGACTGTACTTAATGTTACTTTGATCCGGTTACTTATGTTGTGGCAGATATTTAAGTAAGCTTTCTTAACGCTAATGTTATAATAGTCAGATTGCTCTGAAGATGGGAGGTGATATTCTATTAATGTTCACGTTCACACAGTCGGTGATTTTTGCCGGCCGTCTTTCCTGCAACGGCAGTTTTTCTGTATTTCCTTTCTCCTGTAATATGACTTGATCGCTTTAAACTCCGCACACTGAGCTCTGATTGGTCAGCAGGCAGTGCTTTCACTGAGTTGATCTCTTAGCCTGCAACCTAACCTGCTCCGGACCAGGCTAGCCATTCCGCATAATGGCGCATTTCGAACATGGCGCGGAGCACGGTTTAAGCGTGCCGGGCCCGTTTTTGGTTGCGTTTCCACTAGGCCTAGTTCCGGCCCGGGGCTACTTTTTCACCTTTTTTCTGGCCCGACTAAATCGTGGTTCTATCGGGGCCAACAAGCGGGCTGAGTATGCTAAACTAAAGAGAATCGCTGGCAAGGGGGCTACAACTACAACAAGATGAACATATTTGACCGTGATTTAATTGTAATACACGTTTCAAAATGATGCCGAAGTAACAACATACTGATACCGGTTAGTAAAAACCATGAATTAATGCTTTGACAAGTCTGCAGACAGACGGCAAAAAATGCGTGTTTCCTGAATGGAGATCGGCTAAGCTAACGCAGTATATGCTCCGACCGTCCACACTCACAACAACGGCCTACAGACATAAATAAACCAGCGACTAGGGATGGGTATCGTTAAGGTTTTAACGGTACTACTACTTTTATCGATACCACTTATCGATCCGGTCTTTTAACGGTACTCTTATCGGTTCTTTTGGAGAAAACTAAAAGGTAAACTAACTAAACAAATTGTGAACAAAACTAACATTGCTTTTTATTTAAATTAAATAAATAATATTTCACATCAAAAGAAACAACAATGTTTTAACAAATCATATTAAATAATGTGATGACAGAATTGTAAACAGAATAGCTGAATCTTTAACATAATAAATAACTCAGTTTCCTCTAATCATTAACCCATGTTTGTATCATGTAGTTAACTCTGTGTGTTGCTGCTAGCATACATAACACCTGACGTGGAAACGTTACTCGTGGATGGGGCTACAGAGCTGCTAGAAAGACAGTCCGGTGTATTCCTCCGTCTGAATGTGATGCACTTTTGCTAAATGTTTAGACAAATTGCTCGTGTTACCGCCCTTACATGCTAAACTCTTATTGCACTTTTGGTAACGAGCATTCTCCACATTGAGACGGGTAAAGTGTAACCACACCTCGGAGCGCGTTCTCTCCGCCATCTCCTCCGTGAGTGTGTTGCTGCATGTAGCAGCTGCGTGTGTAAACTGCCCCGCCACTTCGCAAGCAGGCGGGGGAGAGAGATCGAAAATACTAAAAATAATCATGGACGCATTTTGCAGTCTTTTTGCGTGTTAGAAACGGAGTTGGCGACACTAAAACTGCAATATAATGTTTGTGTAGCAATAATACATATGACATATTTTTTACATGTCTCCAGTACCGATAAAAAGACCGATAACGTCGGAGCTTAACGGTACCACGGTCTTTAATAATTCAGCCCCGGGGCCCGTTTAATACCGGGGCTCGGTACCCATCCCTACCAGCGACTGTATTCGCCATGACACAGACAGTCTGTGGTTTGTACTTGTTTAACTTTTGTCTAGTTTCTGAACAGATATGAAGAGCTGTGAGCTTGAGTGCTATCAGCTAATGTTGTTTTTCTGAAGATGACGTCACGGCTCCGCCTACACTGCGTTACTATAGATACTACCCCAGTTCCTAAACTGTAATGGAAGCGCAGCATTAAAGTGAGCCGGGCCTAACAAGGCCTAACAAAACCGTACTAAGTCGAGCGAGGCCTGCGGTGGAAATGCGCCATAAGTTACCATGGAGACCTAGCCCGCTAAGAAGTGAACCAGCGTCGTAGGACCGGAAACCCAGTTTTCCCTGAAGTTAGCTCGCTAAGTGAAAATCCGGCTTCGTAGTACAGGCCTCAGGGCTGTACGTTCATGCAAGGTGCAGCTAGTCAAATGGACCACCCTCACACTAGATATGAAGCAGTCAAGGTCCAGAGAAGTTGTTAAAGGTCAGGAATGGGATCATTTCTGGGGTAAAATGACCATTATATATTACCATAGTATGGCAGGCAGATCACGGGCATTCCTGTTATGGTGATCTGTATGAGCGTTTTGTTATTATACTTTTTTTTATATTGTGAGCGATGTGAGGGAAATTAATTATTTTGAGAGACACTTGGACTGTGAATAAAACGAAGATACTAGGACAGGGTTTATAGGTATTTATGTTTTTCTATTTGTGGGATGTCATTGGTTTAGTTAATTATTTAGTTTGGGATTCTGCAATGTTGTGCGATTGTCCCTGTTTTTTGTTGTTGTAACACTTCACAGATTATCCCTTGGATTATTTTGAGATCTCTAAACCCATTACAAAATCTATCAATCAATACAAAAAGTTATATTAAAAACGTTAGATATTTGTTGTAAAAAGATCATTAAAGCTGAGCAGAGAAGAACCAAGCAGTGTGAAAAAAAATAAAGAAAGAAAAATACAAGTACTTCAAATGTATTTTAGATTACTTGAATAAATGTACTTAGTTACATTCCATCTCTGGCCTTTTATGTATGCATGTACCAGACCTCCTTCAGTGTATAAATCCAACTTACCAATGATGATGTATTTGAAGATGTAGGAGTAGTTGTAAGGTGCGGCTGTCATCTTGATACTGGAAAAGAAAAAAGAAAAACAGGAAAAGAGGTGTGAGTTCACGCACAGAGTCCACATCAGATCACACTTTATCTGTGAGTCACAACGCTGAAGTCAGCTTCTCATTGGCTGACATTGAATATCCTCAATTGGTTTGCCTCTCTTACTGCACGAATGTGCATTGGACATTTAAAGTAGTCTGGGAGCTTATTTAAACCCTTGCAAATTGTAGAAACATTTTTATACATGTAAAAATGCGAAAAAAGGAGATTCTACATATTTCTACACAACTAGATCACATAGGATCAGGTCCCTTTGAAAACATAAACCCATAAATGTCAAATCTGGACTAGATTATCACAAATACTCGTTAATACTTAGTTTCAGACTTGTACTTTTTGTGAAAATGCGCAGAAGGGAGATTTCACTCGCTTTTTTTTTTTTACAACATTGTACCAGGTCCAGATCATAACCCACTATGCCTAGACTAATCATAAGGTCAAGGTTTAAATAAGAAAGTCTCGCGTGTTTTGTTTTTCTTGCTAATTCAAAAATGAAATAAGGCAAAGGTTTCACAATTCTGAAACTGTGTTTAAAATAGCCTCTTTGCTTCCCTGGGAGAATATAGTCCAGATTTGACCAGTCTGAACATAGCTGTTACTGATCTGGACCTTTTCTAAAGTGGTCAAAATGTGCAAAAAAAGAGTCAAATCTATAACTGAGCAACAAACAAAAGGAAACAGTCGATTGGGCTAACACACAGCTAGGCTAACAAACCGAGCTTAGCTTTTAGCATGAACCGTTAACCGTAATGACAGTCACGCAGTGAGCACGCAGTCGTCTTTAGCAGAAGTATTACACAAAATCAGCTGACTTCCCTCTCTGATAAACCCTCTCATTCCTTTTTCTGTTAGCTTAGCTCTAGAGCTAACCGGCTAACAGCTGCAGTGCTGTCAACGCCTTGCTAACAGGCTAACAAGCAGGAGGCCAATGTTATCAAAACTAAAATTAATAAAGCACAGGACAGCAGGGGTGAGGTAAGATGCTGGCGTTTTACCTTCGTCACGGCTGTTTATCCAACTGGTAAAACTGATATATCTACTGTTTAGACGGCTGGTTGTATGTAGTTAGCTGATTAGCTTAGCCTGGTGATCCGTCAGGAAACCTTTCCCCTCTTCCGCGATACTTATTCTCTAGCGATAAACACGGGAAACACCGCGAGATTTACAAGTGTCTAGCGCTGCCCAGCGTACGAGAGGACAGTATCACAGACTGATGGGAAACCAACCAAGATTGAGGTACCTTTATTATAGTATAGCCTATAGTATAGCCCAGTTAAGTTAAATTAATTCGTTATTTTTATTTCAACATAAATATGCCTTAGGTATAAAAGTGTAGCAAAATGCTCAGCGATGGAAGTAAATAGCTACAGCTATCCAATAAATGTCCCATTAATTCAATCCATCCATGTGAAGAAATAAATACAATATTTATTTCAGAGATTAAGTTATGTCAATGTATGACCCAACCCAGGTTATGTACAAGTTCTTTAGAATTGCATACTTTTTCAAGTACTCAAATCTAAATAAAGACACCCTATATGCCAAACCTCTAAAATACTTTGATGATCATTTATATACAGCTATTGCTAATTTTACAGCAGAATAGTTTACCACCTTATACATTCAATTTGATGAAGGTACAATTATTCAATTATTGTATAAGTTTACTGCGGCTGGACGGCTCCAGCTGCACTGTCACACAGAGCAACACAGGAAAACCTTCCTGCCAACAGCCATAACACTTTACAACACATCACCTGTGGCCAGCAGAGAACTCACTGTACATCCTTTAAGTTACTTTAGTTTCTCCCTCTCCATAGCAATGGACAATTTGCACATCTGTAATTGATATATTATGTATATGCTTCTGTAATACAGTATTGGCCTTTCATATGACTGTCTCACTGATATCTTTATATATATATTTGTGGTTTATTTCCCTTTCTACTGTAGATATGTATGTACCGTATAGGCCCTCCTTGCTGCTGTTTATTGTTTTATCTCATTGTTATTACGTTGATACCTATTTTCCACCTTTAACGTTTTTTAGTCCTGAACACACTGCTGCTACTGTAACTAAATAATTTCCCCTTGGATCAATAAAGTATCTATCTATCTATCTATCTATCTATCTATCTATCTATCTATCTATCTATCTATCTATCCATCCACCCATCTATCTGTCTGTCTGTCTGTCTGTCTGTCTGTCTGTCTGTCTGTCTGTCTATATATCGGTGCATGTATCAAAATGTATAATACACAAATTGTATATTATCAAAGTGTAAAAAAAGCACAAATTACACTCAAGTATTGCTACTTTTACTAAAGGAGATCATCCGAGTACTTCCACTTTTAGCGTCTCTGCTGTTTTTCCATCCTTTGAAATGAAGGCAAATATAATAAGTACAATTTAGTTTTAATATTACAATATCATTTTATAGATAATCTTTTAGTCCAATAACAACAAAAACGACGTTCTCCTGAAATTATAAAAAATCCAGTAAATACAAAAAAAGATAAAAATAAGTGACAGTCATAGAAATGAACATAAGTCTTCAATAGTTCATAGTCATGTGTTTGCAATAATATTGTGCAGATCAGAACAAATGTAAGTTTCAATTATAGCCAGTGGTGGGTGGGTACATTTCCTGAAGTACTGTACTTAAGTACAATTTGTACGTACCTGCTCTGTCCTTTAAAAATCATGTATCTCTAGCAGTGTTATTGAAATGTTTCTGATAAACTGAAGAGCAAGTGATCCCATATGTGTTGAGAAAATGGTCCTAGCTTAATAAAGTATTTAGAAATGGTCTTGGCTCATTTGGAAATGCTTTGTTAAAAAGCTGAAAACAGGTTTTTGTTCTGGGAAAAACACACAGGACAGCAACAAAGCTACAACATGATGACGTTATAGAATATATGCATTGCTGTAGTAGAACAAGGGAGATGAAATGAGCAAAACCTCAATGTTCTACTTGTATCATATCATATCATTTATAACAGTAAAACGCTGTCTGGAAACGTTGTAGAATTATACTTAAAGTATACTTTGCTGAGATATTTACATACTTTCACTAACATAACATTTTACATTCAAGACTTGGACTTGTAGTGAAATCATTTCAGTGTGTTACTTTTACTGCAAGATCTGAATACATGGTCCACCACTGATTATAACTCACAATGACATCAGAGAGTTCACGTGGAATGAAAGATCAAAAACAATTCAAACAAATGAGCGACCTGATATTCACAAATGTAACTGAACAGAGAAGATGTTTTACACTCACAGAAGATTTACATCACAATTTGACAGACTTCACCACACAGTACAAAACACACTCCAGCTGAAGAAGCTGCTCCAAAGAACAGCAGGAAGTAGACAAAAATGAAATACTGTTAATTAAGATATAAAAGCCTTTAATTGGAAATTAAATTAATTTAGATTAGTGGTTTAAATGAATACAGAAAGTGTGATGTGAGTGCTTCACGTGTGTGTTCAGTCAAATAAAACTACCACTTCCATCCATATTGTTCTGTCCAAACGCAATCAGGTGTCTGCATGATCAGACGTTTATTAACACATAGTGTTGGTGCAGACAGTCTGTAAAAGTTTGTAATGTTGAGCTGGTTGAACTTTTCACAATCAATTTGTACATTTAACTGTAATTGTTCTTGACCTGAGTGTCTTTGCCAGCATGTGCACACATTTGGTTGTGTGATGTGTTTAATGATGACCCTGATGGAGGCACAAGCCCAAGCACATACAAAGTTATTCTTTACGCACTAGCTTGAATTATCTTGACTTGTACGGTTTGCTGATACAAGGTTATTCCTCTGTACTAATACAACATATTGCAATAAAGTACACAGAAAATATGAAAAGTTGACTTTCACATAACTGTATTAGGTTAGTTGAAAGCAATAATATTAAATTGAACCTAATCTTTTTATTTAAACTTAATATTATTGCTTTCAACTAACCTAATACAAATATGTAAATTCTCTTGACATAATACATTTAATTAAAGTCAACGGTTTTCAAGTCTTTTTAAAGAAAATAATTTACTAATTTGTGCTAACCTGCTCATGTTCCTCACAGATTCATCTGTTTCTTTTGTATGTGGATTTTCTGTTGACGCAGATTGCTTTTTTAAAGTTCACCACACAACAGCGACTGGAATATCTTCATGTAATGGAGAAAGGCCAGAACAGTGTCATGTTAGACTGTATGTTAAGCTTTAGGACTCAAGCAGTTCAAAGATATTCAGTTAGAAATAATAAGTTGTTGTTTGTGGTTCCTAGGTTGCGAGAACTGTAGCTTGTAGATTTCATGATGAGGATGATGATGAGGATGATAATGATGAGGATGATGATGAGGATGATGATGATGGATACATAGTCGGTGTCAAGCAGCAGCTTTGGTTTCCCATTCCTGTGAAAACAGTAACAAACTGACTCAATATTGAGCATGATGGATGTAAATGATCTGAATCAGATGAAAAGAGATTCTCTGAATGGAAGCTTTAACCAGCAGCTGTTGGTGTGACAATCTGACCTTCCTCTTCTGGAAAACGTTCCCATGTTCGATGAACAGCGATGAAGGAGCTCGTCTCAGAGAGTTTTTAGCGGAGGCCGTGCGCCGCAGCAGAGGGTTCAGAAATCCCGCCTGGATCGGGACAAAAGAGTTTCCCATCACTATTATGTACAGTGGTCATATTATTGTATGTACAATCATATTTTGCTCTCTATAACCAGAGGTGGGAGAAGTACTCAGATCTTGTAAAAGTAGAATTACCATATACTCTGTTACCGAAGTCCTGCATTCAAAATGTTACTCAGGTAAAAGTAGAAAAGTATTAGCATCAACATATATTTTAAGTACCCAAAGTAAAAGTAGTCGTTGTGCAGATTGATCCATTTCAGAATAATATATATGATATGTTTTATAATGATTGATCATTAAAGTGTTCTCAAAGCTGCTAAAGGTGCAGCTAGTTTGAATGACTTTGTATACTGCAGGGTAGCTTGTGAATTTACTCCAGGTGGAACTAAAGTCTGATTTAACACTTGATTATATTTCACATCATTCATCCACATCTGTGAAGTAACTAAAGGTGTGTACTTTTAGTACACAGTTTACCTCTGAATTATAGTGGAGTAGAAGTACAAAGAACCATACAACGGAAATACTCAAGTAAAGTACAAGTACCCCACAATTGTAATAAAGTAGACTTCTTGAGTACATGTACTTTGTAACTTTACCCCACTGTCTATAACAATGTAAAATGTGTACATTATGTGAAGGCTTTAAAAGGACCAAGCAATTTATGTTATTTTTTATCTTCATTATGTGTGTCCATCAATCAATTTGTATCTGCTCAACCGGGGCCGGGCTGCGGGGGCAGCGGCTAAGGAGAGAATTCATAACGTTTCCCAACAATGTTTTCCAGCTTTTCCATGGAAACCCCCGGTCGTTCCCACGCCAGACTAGATGTAAGATCTCTCCAGCATGTTCTGGGGCTCCAGTCAAATAGGTTTTTTTTGTTAGGAAGGTTTCAAACTGAGTGAAATTTAAATGTGATAAAAGCTGTTTGAGTTCTCTAAATGCAAAGGTTCTTTAATGTGTTCTCCTTTGGCATAGGGAACAGGGGACCATTCTTTACCAAAGGAAAGTAGATGAAACCAACCCACCATTTATTGTGGCCTGAACATTCAAAGCGTCGCACCATACGGAGTAATGCTAAGAGTCTTAAAACGTGGAAATGAGTTAAAATGTCCATTTCCCTCATCTCAAAGTCCAACGTTTTTGGTTAGATGCCTGAAACAAGTTCTGTGGTTAACACAAGCTAAATAGATTTTCACGTTTTGTTCTATGACATAAAATATGTCACTAAATACTCTACTCGTGAATGTTCAAAGCTTCCATGTGTAATAAAAACAGTGGTTGCTAACAAGTGACTAAATTAGACTACTAACCTGTTAGACCCCAAGCCTGTTTTTCAGGTCTCAGGCTCGAAAATGATATGAAACATTCATAGTTTATTAAATCTTAAGAAGCCCTCAGACGCTGTTTCCTGCAGATGTTGTGGTTTCGGCCCCTTCGGCGGGTCCATGGGGCTAAAGAGGCTAATGGTGCGTTCACACCTGTTCACACCGGACGCAATGCGATGTTTGAAAAAAAATATAAAGATTCATGAAAATGTTTCCAATAAATTAATAAAATGATTTTTGTCCACTTTGTTGTTCAGATAGATCACATATTTGTAACTAAATGATACATTAATTGAAACAAAACACAGTATAAACTGAGGAGTGAGTCCCGTGAGTTTCATGTGTTTTCTTCACTCCGCTGGGAAACTGCTCTCATGTCAAGAAGCAACAGATCAGTGCATGCACTGCATCGTCCAATCAGTGAGCGATACACAGTAAGGGGGCGGGGCGAGTGTCTGAGGATTTCACCGGAGGATGGTCTGGTAGTTCCTCGATTATCGCTCCTCCGTTATCGCTCCTCGATCCTCCGGTACAAATAAGGCCACTGGGACGCTACTCAAGATGAGGCAGACAAATCAACTTCCGGTGATACGAGACCGAGGAGCGAGGAAATGAAAAATAACCGAAGGGAGACGCAGGTTGCATTCCAAGGTTGCGTTCCGATAATCCAAAAATCAGCTCCTAAATTCTAACCCTATCTCCTATTCCTTGACCTCTGAGTGAAACGTCACAGGGTTAAGGGATAGTGGATAGGAGAATTCAAAAGGACTTAGGAGAAGAGACCGCGGTACTTTAGAGAATCCGAATGCACTTTCACTATCCGACGTGTTTATGATGCGCCAGTGGACGTCATGAATGTGCGTCTGCTGCTGTGGGGAAACTATGGAAACTACAGTTTTCTATACAGCGGACTACAACATGGATGTTTAATAAGAACGAGGGACTACTGTAAACTCATCTAGAGACTCTGCACCGTGCTCTGATGCTGTTGCTTTATGCTTTATGAACGCTGACAACAGAGAAACATATTCTTCATGACCAAAGTTGGAATTGAAATAAAAAAGGGAAGTGAAACTTCTGCTCGTCACCCTCTCCCTCCGGTCCACATTAATACAAATGATCCCAATATGCATGATTGTTTGAAAATATCTTAAAATAAATACAAATGTATTTATTATAAACGTTAGTCCTTAACATCTATCACTGTGTATATCACCATTCAAACATCTTTTAAAAGTTGAACAAACCCCACACAGCTCAGTAAAGACTGTGAGATGTTGACTTTATTTGATCATTTCAGTAAAAACTAACGTTCATATTTCTCTTTTTGATTATAATACTGATGAACGTTCAAAACAAAGTACTTTGGCAACTTACCACATACGTTTTAAAATGCTTAATAAGCACCGTAACTTTCATGATATCATTTCTCGGTCATAATCGGTTGTTTCCGTGAACGGCCGACTGTTGTGATGGCAAATGCTGCGGCTGCAATGCATTGTGGGGCAGCATTGTCTCCTCTCCTTTCGGTTAGGGAGGTCCAGTGGTTCCTAAGCTAAAGGAGGTTATAAAGGAAGTTTGAAACCTCCTTTCCTTTCATTTGGAGAATTGGAACGGCACTTATCATGGCTGCCAGTGACGTACTTCCGGGTCATTTCACTCCGTTAGGAAGGTTCCTAAGCTAAATGGACTATTGGGTTGCATTCCAATAAAGGAGAGGAGAAAATGCTGCCCCACAATGCATTGCAGCCGCAGCATTGGCCATCACAACAGTCGGCCGTTCACGGAAACAACCGATTATGACCGAGAAATGATATCATGAAAGTTACGGTGCTTATTAAGCATTTTAAAACGTATGTGGTAAGTTGCCAAAGTGCTTTTTTCTGAACGTTAATCAGTATTATAATCAAAAAGAGAAATATGAACGTTAGTTTTTTACTGAAATGATCAAATAAAGTCAACATCTCAGTCTTTACTGAGCTGTGTGGAGTTTGTTCAACTTTTAAAAGATGTTTGAATGGTGATATACACAGTGATAGATGTTAAGGACAACGTTTATAATAAATACATTTGTATTGATTTTAAGATATTTTCAAACAATCATACGTATGGGATCATTTGTATTAATGTGGACCGGAGGGAGAGGGTGACGAGCAGAAGTTTCACTTTCCTTTTTTATTTCAATTCCAACTTTGGTCATGAAGAATATGTTTCACTGTTGTCCACGTTCATAAAGCATAAAGCAACAGCGTCAGAGCACGGTGCAGAGTCTCTAGATGAGTTTACAGTAGTCCCTCGTTCTTATTGAACATCCATGTTGTAGTCCGCTGTATAGAAAACTGTAGTTTCCATAGTTTCCCCACAGCAGCAGGCGCACATTCATGACGTCCGCTGGCGCATCATAAACACGTCGGATAGTGAAAGTGCATTCGGATTCTCTAAAGTACCGCGGTCTCTTCTCCTAAGTCCTTTTGAATTCTCCTATCCACTATCCCTTAACCCCGTGACGTTTCACTCAGAGGTCAAGGAATAGGAGATAGGGTTAGAATTTAGGAGCTGATTTTTAAACTATCCGAACGCAACCGCAGCCTTTGTCCACTTCAATCAACTTTGTTTCCTCCGGCTTCAATTTCCATCACTCTTGTTCGTTCTCTCTATGTCTGGTCAGACATCAATCTGTTCCACGTAGCGCGCCCCTTAGAGGCCTGGAGCACTGTGTGTTTTTGGGTTTGTAATGTGTTTTGGGTTTGTATGTGTTTTTGACTTTGCATATCGTTTTTGTATTCGCAGCGTTTTTCTGTTGCGTTTGTTTTCGGGGTTTGTGTGTTGTATTTAGTTTGCATCATTTCTGTAAATGCAGCGTTTTTTTGTTGTATTTGTTTTCAGGGTTTGTTTGTTTTTCATTTCATTATTTGCAGCTGTTCTATTTCGTATAAGGCTTCGCCCTCTAAGGCTATCGCTATTGGGTAATCCCTCTGCACGTGTGCAGCACTGACAGACTTAATCCATGCCCACCTATGACGTGGGCCCCACCTACGGACTCACTTCCGTATAAATAGGAAGTAGTCCCTACAATCTGCTCCCACTTTTCTTCAGCACTCCGTTGCAGAAGCACTGTACAGGCACAAGCTCTTTTCAGAGCTGTTTACTAGAAAGCAAACATTTCCCCCTGGCCCCATCCTCCCTCTCCTCCGGATGGGGGAGACAGGGCGGGGCTCGGTGTTAGCCGACATATGAGTTACGACCGGCTGTGGCTGGCTCGCTCCAGGGAGGAAGCGGCTTTACACAGACGATACAGGTGAGTCCTGCCGGGGATTGGAGCATGCAAACGCGGCTCTCACTCCCCAGGTGTCGTGCACTCATTGTGTCTGTCTCCCTCTGGCCCACAGACAGCGGAGAGCGAACGCTCTCGCGGCTGCGGCCGGGGATGATTGGCTAGTCCAGGAGTCTTACTCTGTGGACCAAGCCCTTGATTATTGGATCCGAGTGGCGGGCAGCAGTCAGGCGACTCCTTCCCCTCCATTCACAGATCACCATGTGGTTCCCCCAGCCCCATCCTCCCTCTCCTCCGGACGGGGGAGACAGGGCAGGGCTCGGTGTCGGCCCGGCAGCCGAGCCTATAGGTTCGGCTGCCGGGCTGACACCGGGTCCCTCTATCCGCCATCTCGGCTCTGC